TAAGTGATGATTACTTGCCCACACATGTAGTTAGACAGAGACAAACACAGACACACACACACACACACACACACACACACACACATACTGGTTTCCATGTTGGATGGGGACCAACTTTCTGGTCATCACTTGTGGGGACCACCCTTTCTAAGGGCTCTGGATGCCTGAAAAAAATCTGGTATGCTAACCATAATGTTGTTAGCTTATACACGCCTTTAAACATCGAACTTGATGAAGTTATGATTTCACCATGCTTAATGGGGACTTATGAAAAGTCAAGTGAACACACATATTGAGAGACACACACACACACACACACACACACACACACACACACACACACACACACAGACAACTTTGCAGACAGAAATGCAAATGTCGCTGTGGCAGGAATCCCGCTGTATTCTCACTCAGGTTGTACTGCACTTTTGCCACATCCTCAAGAGGAATTATTTAGAAGTGTCAAGTGCCATTCTTTGTCCAACTGTGAAAATTTAATGAATCAAATGACTCGTAGCATCACTAAAACAGCCATATTTGTTCTATCATATATAATATACTGTATATGTAGACATGAAGAAATAATAAGGCAGATGCAGGATAAATCAGTGCAGTGAGAGACCAGTAAGAGTACAAATATCATACAGACTGTTGATGTTTCAGAATGATCAAGCTGAGATTATTTTGTCTGCAAGATGAATTTTTTTTTCTTGTTTTGCTTTCTGATACTCAAATCTTTGATGGCAGGGAACCAGTTGCACATAAAAATGTCTGGTGCACAGCCCACATGTCTCTGTTAGAAATATTTATGAGCTCAGACTCATCTACAGAAACTTTAGTATGCAGTGCTGGTAATACTGACAGAGCCTGAAATGCATCTCAGCAATACAAATGTTATCTGTAGAAATTATCTACATTTAGTTTTAAAGGCCCCAAATTTTTACTATGAGCAAAGTCTGATAGTCAGACTGAAGAAACCAGTATGCAAAACATAACATGACTCATTACATGGTCTCATGCAATATGTATTTTAAGGTGTTCTCATTTAGGGATTTTTATTTTAAAGCATTCCTGTTTGAGGAGGGAGAAGGTGTTTGTAAATTGCATCCCTCGCTAAAGGAGAATGTGAGGGACTTTTACAGGCTTTCAGGTCAAACCATCACTGAATGAAATAAAAGGTGATTTGACTGGCAGGAAACTATGTGATTTCAAAATGCATTTGTTGATTTCTTCAACCATATTAAAGTTGCATGACATATGCAGGTGTAGTTTTCAGAAATCATGAATGCTGCCATAGTGGTTACAAGGAGCAGTTACCTTGAGGTTTAAAATTTTAGTTTAAATTGTTGTTTCTCTAAGTTGTCTAATAACAACCTGCATCAATTTCATCCATGCTTATTACCTTGCTTCTGACACTATGGGGGATATTGGCTTATTTTGACAGGAATGCAAAAATCAGGAAGGAGCGAATGTAAATTTATACAAATACCTCCAGCACCTAATTTACCACTGCTGCACGAGAGTGAACTGTGTTTGAGATTTAACGTCGGGATAAAGCGGTGTAAAATTTGCGGCCCTGCTCTCAGTGTGGCAGCTTTAGTCATCAGGGATAAGAACACGTTTGAGGAGGGAGAGGGTGTAAATTACACTGCTCACCAGAGGAGAATGTAAGGGGCTTTTACAGGCTTTCAGGTCAAACTATGCTTCAGTTACTGAACAAAATAAAAGATGATTTAACTGGCAGAAGAGTACATGACTGCAGCTCCGAAATATGTTTGTTGATTTCTTCAACCATATTAAAGTTCACTCGCAGTAAACATACTTTCTTTACTGTCCCTCTCGGTCCACCCGTGTGCAGTACAGGCATGTCGTTACCAGCTGAAAGTGCACTCAAATTAACACAGCTGTGGCTGTGCTTATTTACATCATCAGTGTTGGTAGATAAACTGATAAATTAAAAAAAACTGCAGTGCCACCATATTTTCTGTGCCTGACAGTAATGTGCAACAAGTTTAACTAATGTTCCCCTAATTTTCATGACTGTAGCAAGGTAGCTAGCAAGCTATGCATGAAGATGATGTTAACATTCTTAAAAACACAAAATGTGAACAAGGTAGAAAAAATGTTCACATTGAGTAGTAAATAATGGAGAATGTGAGTGTGTGTGGTTGTCTGTCTCTATGTGTCAGCCCTGTGATAGACTGACAACCTGTCCAGGTTGTACCCCACCCTCTTGCCCAATGTCAGATGGGATTGGCTACAGGCCCCCCATGACCCTCTATAGGATAAGCGGTATAGATAATGGATGGATGGATGAAATACTGGAACACATTTTTAGATAGGATTTCATCCTTTTATACATCATTTCAGACCTCGATTGAATTTTGTAGAATGGAGAGAGCAGGATGTCTGAAAGCTATACAAGTTGTGACTGTATACCTTTACAGCAGATGATCTGATCACAAAACAATATTATGATGGATTCCTGCAGATGAAAGCAAAAACAGAATTACAAAAGCTAATATTTCTATATATTGTTATCGAAACCAGAGAGCATTTTTATTCAATTTTACAGAATGAAGAGCAATGGCGGACTGCTGTCTCAGCACCACAGGTTGGTCACACACATACACACATTCTGACATACAAACATACACTACTGTATGTTTAATTACGGTGTTTAAGAGGCAGATGTATTAGTTTGTGAGGTTAGTGTGGCACTAAGTATCAAACATGCCTTTATTACTACCACTTTTTACCCTTTTGTACTCTTCTACAAGTATATTCACAGCTAGTAAGAATGAGCAAACCAACTGTCAAGTTAAATTACTTTAAATTACAGCCTGCTTGTAGATTGACAAATTGTATTTAAAACACTCTGTGCTCTGTTTTCCTGCAAGAGGATGCAGCACTAAACTCATGTTTAAACTCTAGGCACAAAGTGAATACGGGCGTGTTCAACAGTGTTTTGCAATTTTGATGATCACAGATGCAGTGCACTTTCATGCACAGCCAGGTGCTACAGGGCACATTTTGTGGTGGGAGGAATACATGGTGAGCAGGTGGAATTGGGGCTGGCTTTAGTTATGCCCAGTCAAACCAGCTCATCTCATCCTCTTTAAAGAGCAGGGTGGAAACCTGACTGACTGATGTCAGGACAAGGAAATATATGAGGAAAGATTATTTCCCTGTATCTTTTTCTCCTGCCAGTTATGTTCTCCATTCCTAGACGGACTGCAACAGTACTGCACATAAATATTCACTCAGTAGTCTGTTAATATCACTGACCAGCGTTTGAGCGTGGAAGAAATAAAATCTCTGATCCTGTAACCAGCAGCAGAGGTGTTTCTAATATTCAGACTCTCTCATATATGTAGCTGGAGAGGACAAAAATATAGAGACACCTCTAAATATAATGTAGTCCAGTGCAACAGCACCTTTCACTATGACCTCAATAACAAACATAGAATTGAATTTATACATTTATGACAATTTCACTAACACCTTAAACATTTAAGCTTCAAAAACACAGATGTTAAGGCAGAAGTGTTGCACTGAATTGTATACAATTGTTCAGGTGTACCTAATAAAGTGGATTGAATTTGTATATAGCCACATACTGAGTACTAGCTTATCTTATTAGGGAAATAATCACTGTAAATGATCACACACATTTTATAATTCAGATGATTTCATAAATTACTCAGAGTAATTCCAAGCATTGTGTCTGGAGAACACTAGGCACCGCTCATCACCTGGCTAATACCATCTCTACACTGAATCATGGTGGTGGCAGCATTATGCTATGAGAGGTCTGCTCAACAGGAGGAACAGAGAGACTAGTCAGAAATTGAGGGAAGGATGAATGTAGCCATAGACAAAGTCCTTGAACAAAACCATCTCCACAGTGCATGTGATCTGAGACTGGAGCAGTGGTTCACCTTTCAGTACAACAATGACCTGAAGCACACAACAAGACAGCAATGGAGTGGCTTCATGACAAGAATCTGACTGTCCTCGAGTGGCCAAGTCAAAGCCCAGAATTAAACCTCACAGAACATGTAGGGAGACCTGAAGTTGGCAGCTCACATACAGTTCCGATTTGGTGGCACTTGAAGGAAAAAAGCCAGGGTGTAGAGACTTATTAAGAAGATTCAAAGCTGCATTTGCTGCCAAAGGGATTTCTTAAGAATCTGTATATTTCTATAATTAAAAGCATGCACTTTAGGTAACCTGGCAATTTGAAATCGTCCTGTAGGGTTACATCAGGAAGGAGTTAAAACTGTCCCTGATCGCAGTGCTCCACTGTGATGATGGGGAGTAATATTCTGGACTAAGTGTAGGCTGATGGGCATAAATGACAATTCTAACCTTGTAATTTTAAACCTACAACACAATAAAATGTTTAAAAAGTGAAGGGTCTGAATACCTTCTGAAGCCACATGAATAGAAAACATCAGTCAGCACTAAACTGCAAAGCAACTGTTTGATTTTTTCATATTCAACATGCAGGAGCACATTGCCAAAACAATAAATATATGTGACAGTCCCACAACTTCCAGACTGCACATTATGACTACCATCATGCGTGAAGTGAGGAAAAAAAGCCACAGTAGTTCTAAAGCCAAACAGTGAGTCATCTTAAATGCAGCTACAGTCAGTCTGTCACTTCTCTGTGTACACAGCGGCAAAAATAGCACAGGATACAATCTAAAAATAACAGACTGTTTTGAAGTGAAAATGAATTTTTTTCAGTTTGAATGTAGCTGTTAATAGCAGACTGTGAACAGTAAAACATATCAGCAAAGTGAGTGACTAAGTAATTCCTTTGCTGAACATGTTCCAACCATGACAATGAGTTAATGCTGAATATTAAGCTAATAATATGAATATTTTGTACCATACACCAACAAAGACAGAACATTTTACAAAAAAATATCTTTATCTTCTTGGATAAAACATAAAGCAGGAAAAAACAATGGAGAAACAGTGACACTGACCGGAGACAGCCTGTGGCATTGCGGAGGACCTGGGAGGAGTGTAGGTGCACCTTGCGGTCCTCCTGTGTATGCGGGGAGGTGTCCCAGCCCGAGTGGGGGATGATCACAGCATTGGTTAGCACAGCCAGGGCATCCTGGATGATGGGCATCTTCAGGGCATCACACGATGACAGATTCCATAAAACACCTGCAAAAGACAACAAAGAGACCAGAGGTGAAAACCAGTGCAGAGGAACAGAGGCAAGAGACAGGAAGAAAGACAGTCACACCTCAGTGCAAGAAAACAGACAGGTAAGTGATTATGCCTTGGTACAATAATGATTTGCATGAAGTCACCTCTTTGGTGACCAATGGTTATCTTCTTGAACACTGTCCAAACTTAAACTTTACCAAAGAACATGAAAAGAAGTCAAGTTAACTTTGGTAGCACATTCTTTGGTCAGATTAAACTGTTGTGGTGGAAGGCAGACTGACCACACAGAAACACGACTCAACTCAGTTCATGTTTCAACGTAACATGCTGCTACAAGTTCATCTAGGGGCGGCACTGGCCATCCCTAGAATTTGACTGGCCGCACCTGGTGCCACCCCTGCTAGAGTCAAAATGTGATGCTTGTCAGTGTTAAATGAAAAATGAAAAACAATAACACATTGTTGTCTTAAATACAACTAACATTTTCTTGGTCCTTTATAATTGATATTGGTAAATTAGTTTTATTTTATATCATGTATGCAGCTTGATATTTGCATTCATTTCTCTGATTGTGGCGTACTTGGCATCATTCACCTCATTGGGGGCGGAACCACTGTGCAGCAATGTCCCTGGCCTGGTGTAGATGAGGAGCACAGCCAAAGTTAGCTAAAAAAGGCACTGTGTATGTCTCAGTTTTACACAGATTAAACAATTTGCTCCTTAATAATGTATGGTTATTTTAACTCATAGAACTAGGGGTTTAATTAACTTTTTTTTTTTACATGTATCTCAAATGTGCCACCCCTCTAGGAGTCTCTGCCCCAGCCTGTCTGGCCTCCCCATCCAAAATTTCCAAGATTCACCCCTGCTCCTATCACTTCCTCTGATAACACTTTATTGAGACACCTTGTGTCAACATTAAGAAAAAAATGTGTTTTATGGGTCCAGATGTGCTGTCACCAAAGGGTAGTTTTTTTTGCCCAGGGTTTGGTGATGGGTTAATCTGTGTAGTAGTTTACTGTTAATGCAGATTCATTCATTCATTCATTTTCAACCACCAAGCATACTGTAATTAGAAGAAATGGCAGACATCCACATACACATAACATACAGCCACTTAGTCCCCTGGATCCTTAATTACACGAGTGACACATTTTAACCTTTCGTTCATTGCTCCAGGTCACCATGGTACTGCTGTAATTGACAGAGAACATGTTGAAACAAATTAGGAGAAATACTGAAGACACTAAACACTCTTACACACAATTCTATTGCACCTCACTTATGTTCCTAATCCTCACCTGAATTCAAAACACAGTGACCAGCCAACCAAGAAAATGGACTGAGCTTTCGCTTGGCCCTGTTTTTGTCAGTTGCCACAGACACACAATACTAGAATACTGAATAGACAAAGGCTCTCCATCTTTAGAGACTCATTTGCTCTCTTTCTCTCATTATCTCCCTTTCACTTTCTCACACACACATACATCCTTATTTCTGACACTTACCAGGTCCATATACAGACAGATTTAAATTTCCAGGAGACCTACGCTAAGCTTAATCAGAACCGCTATTTGCGTACCCCATACCCCAATAAGGTAACCAAAGATGAATGTTGCTCTAATCTTATAACCCACTTTTTTCATATAATTTGACAGTTTACTTTGTGGGGACTATCCTCCAGTCCCCACGAAGTAACCCTAACACACACACACACACACACACACACACATTGTTTTTCTCTATAATTTCAGGGGATGTTTCACTGACTTCCATTCATTTACTGAAGACTTACCCTAACCCCTTAAACATAACCCCTACTTGCCTAACCTTAATCCTCACCTTGACCTAACCCTAACCTTTAACCAAGGCATCACTCTAAAATGTAATGATTTACATTCTGGGGCCTTGTCCTCACAAGGGTAAACAGATTTAACAATACACAAACACAAAAATATATAGTATAAACTGCACATCAGTTTGAGCCTTTCAAGAAATGGACAGAGGGTAAGAGGCAAATCATCCCACTAATACACACAAACTGTGATAACCTTGAGAACCTCACACATAATTATTATTGACCTTGGTTTTGCAAAGTGTATATTTCTTAATCTACTGTATGTACTCATATAATTATATGGTTGTGCAACTGAGAGTGTCCACCCTTAGCCATATTTACTGTTATTGACCCCCTCCTTTATGGTTGTAATTTTAATTGTAGTAGTGGACCTATCCTTAGATCTTTGTGTGTGTGTGTGTGTGTGTGTGTGTGTTTGACACAGGGCATCCTCTCTTTAGTGCCATGTTGTTCACCCTCGGCTGAACACCGACTGTGTAATTACAGCTTCTGTTATCTGTCCTTGTGGGTTTGTATAAATTTGTTGTTGTTGTTATGTGTACATGCATTTGTGTGTGCGCGCATCTAAGCCCCCTTGACAAATCAGCCTTAACTCCATCAGCCATTTGGACTCACTGTTTATGTGGAGTATTAAGGCAGTGATGTCTGTGGGTCAGAAGGCGTTTCTAAATGACTAGCCTCTGGCTTCATGATGGCAATTAGCTGGGACTGTCATATTAGCAAAAGTGTCATCTCTCCATGTTTCATCTTATCTCCTGTTCAAGAGGACAAAGAAGGTGTGCTGGGGTTTTGATAACCCTGACATCTTATGTAACACATACTAAATCTAACTGACTTGGATTTCCACATTTGTGAATCAGCCAGTGTTGAGTTGTTTTTTCTCATTCTGTTTTCCCATGACAATATGTCAGTGTCAGCTAATATTATTACTCTTTAATGGAACATTAACATTTAGGTAAATGAGATTGTTTGCTGTATTACAAATGAGAAAGCAAACTTATCTTAGAGAGTTAGTCTAACGTTTGCTTAGTTCCATGACTGAAAATGGGAAAAAATGAAAGAAAAAACAATAATAAAAAAACCATACATCTTCTAACAATGCCAAAAATGCTGTCTAATTACTTTTATTGTACTTTGCTCTCTACTTTAGCTGAGAGTAATCTAGGTTTTGCTCAGTAATATAAAATGCAACTTCATGAGGGTGGGGCACCTGAAATAAAGTGTGCTAGCAGATGTCAGCTCCAATGATTAAGTGAACAGCTCATCAAGCCACAATTTCTTCCTTTCTCATTTTACAAACATATTTTATATTGTATGCACAAGATGCAATTAAATAAATTAGTTTTTAAGCAGGTAGTTTTCATGCACACTGGCTAGCAGTTTCCTCCTATGGCCCTTCAAAGATATACCTAGTACATGCTTGAATGGAGTAGGAAGAAGTCAGACTTATCCAGTCCTACCCCATGACATCATCTTACCATCATTGGTTTGCAAGCAGTAAATAATTCTCTTCTACACCACACAAGTAATATACTAAAGAATTATTACATAGTGTTAACATTCTTACATAATTACATTCTTAAATAATTCTCTTCTACACCACACAAGTAATATACTAAAGAATTATTACAAAGTGTTAACATTCATACCCCACACCCACAATGTTCCATCTAATTAATCATTGAGCCTGTTCTTGCATATATCTTGATTGACACATACCTTTATATTTATGTTTAAACTCGTCAATTCTATTACTATTTTTTATGTCCACACTTAAATTATTCCATAGTTTTACCCCACTTATGGAAATACAAAATCTTTTTTTGGTTGTACGTATAGCATGAATTTTATAATTTAACTGACCCCTTAAATTGTATCCCCCTTCCCTTTCATTAAATAGTTTTTGAATTCCACCAGGTAATAAATTGTTCCTGGCTTTATACATAAACACAGCAGTCTTATATCCCACTAAATCAAAAAATTTTAACAATGAAAGTATGAAATATAATCCTCTTCCGCCTCAACATCCTCGTTCGCTTCTGGTTTATTAGCTCTTTTCCCTTTTGGAGGCATTTTAATAGTTGTAGAATTTGTTCAAAGACTTGAAAATGTAGAAGATGTGAAAAATCGTAGAACAGACAAGAGGAGCAGTAAAGACGTCTGCTCTCGCTTGCAACCCGGAAAAGAATCCCGAATCTGTCACAGTGTAATTTGGACATACAGAGATGAAACTGATATTAATCTAATCTCGTGCCACTACACTGGTGTGTAGTACCAGTAGGACAGCCACAGGCTAAATGAAAGAATCATATTCAAAACATCTACTTCTCAATACAAAATGACAAAGAGTGTCTATAATGTGGGAGGCACTAAATGAACAGTAACCTGGATAATGTTAGACTAATGCAGGGATATAACTGATCTCGTTATGCTTTATATCTTATCCTGAGCAGGATTAAAACTGTGATAAAGCAAAAGAAGTGCTAGTTTTAATTTAAAGATATCAAGTGACAGATAATGATGAGGACATAACAAAGAGTATAAGTCAAATAAAGTTAAATTTGAGATAAGAAAATAATTGTTAAATATTGTCCCCTTTTGCCAGCCCAGTTTCCTGCTGTGCAGAGTATGACACCATCTTTCTGAGATGAAACACAATGAATTTTTATCAAGAACCGAAACACACTCACATACATGGAAATTGTCTCAAGCATACAAAATAAACACTAAATGTACGCGCCATTAATCCATCTAATACACACGCAGGCATGCACAAACACACACGCACACACACACAGTCATGAGTGTATGCCAGATGAAGGAGGTTAATTACCTCATCCTTACATCATGAGTGGCGGCAGGAAGTTATGAATGCAATGGTATATGGAAGGAGGGGAAATGAATATGTTAGATATCTCTTTTCTCTGAAGCCATTTCCCATCTCTCATTTGCACCATAGTTTCATACCCGTCATATTTCTCTCCTCTGCAACCTTTCCAAATTTATTATTTTCCTTTTTTTCTCCTCAGTTCTTCTGGTGTGTTTTTGACTCCTGTCCTACCTACAAATTGAGAAAGTAAATGGTTTTATATTTTTATATATTTGTGTGTGTGTGTGTTTTGTCATGCCTTCAAAA